CACCAACCTTGATAGAGTTAAGTCATCTATCCCAAATGGTTGCACACTGTTGTATCTTGATGTACCTTGTAGACACCTTCTGGAGAACAGAAGAAATAGTACATGTCACATATATTGAGAGCATATACCAGTGTTTCTCAACCTTGGAAACTTTAAGATGGTGGGGCCTCCAACTCCAAAAATCCCCAACCCGAAAGGGCGGGGGGGGGAATTCTGGGAGTTGAAGTCCACCCATCTTAAAGTTCCCAAGGTTGAGAAACACTGGCATATACTAACAGACTTGGGAATTCTTTAAAGAATCTGACGAAATATCACAGTAGAATCCCCTGTTACAGAGGAACAGTAAGGTAGCGGTTAGGTTCATACACTTGTTAAGCTGTTAATTGTAGACTAAATAACAATTAGCTGGGTTTGCACGGAACACTAACCCATAGCTTTTAAGCCACAGTCAGTGGGTTCACACAACAAGCTAAAGCGATGACGAACAAGTTGCATTTTGCGTGAACCAGACGAGAGAATCTTATAAAAGCACCTGTCTTGCAGCTGTATTTTTGGAATGCAAGATTTCCCCAAGTTACAGCTGTGAGTTGGGATTCCGTCCTGATTTGAGCAAGGAGACTGTAGATGATGAACCATTGAATTCATCATGAGTGGCTTGGTGTTGCTACAAATACCATAAAGCTGAGTCAGTGCTGTTAATTTATGGCTGAACCCCACGTACGTGGCTTGTGATGGACAGATCTAAGCCACGATCTTTAATGTTCATGAACTTTTTAATGTTTCAAGTCCTTGCTTGTCTTTCTCTTGTCTGAAAAAGTGTTGGGGAAAGTACCTCCAGGCTTTTAATTTCCCATAAAAGGCATTTGTAAATATGTGGGTGTCAGCTGTTACCTCATCTGTTGCAAAAAACCCAATTTTGTATACCTCATCTATATACTGGACTGTTCCACAAAAGCTTGTGCAGTAATAAATTAGTTAATCTCATAGAAAGCTCCTGGTTGTATTTTCTTTAGTGTGGGGGGAGTGTGTGCGCCTGTTAGGTAATTATGGATAATGACGAAAGGTGCATGTATTTGACTTCTGGATAAATAATGAATTAGTGTGAAAAGGATATTCTGTGTTACACAGTGATATTTGCAGCAAATCGCAATGATGTTGCAATGGTAGTTCTTGCATGATGACATCATAACTCAAATGCTGTCACTACATCCTGACGTTTGATGCAAGTATGTAAATTATAGCATTTGTGTGACAAAGTTGTCTTCCCTACATGGATGTCGAAGAGTTCTGGACAGCAGCTTGGCTCTCTGGCGGTCTCCATCCCTCACCAGCTTTGATACAGTAGGATAGGATTTGACGTTTAACTCCAATATTTGTGGAGGGTTAAGGCTGTTCTCGTAGTTCTCTGCTCCATGTTGAAGCAGCATGCCTAATACCCAAGTGATTAAAAAGAAAAACACCCTGTTTTTCCTCAGCATGTCCTGTTGGTGGCATACACCTGGCCAGATGGGATACATAGGACAAATCTTTGCTGTCATCCAGTTCACCATTGGTTTTTACAACTCCTATTTTGTATATTTTTATTTACGTATTGGTTTGCCAAATGTACACTCTGCCCTTCCTCAAGGAGTTCAAAACAGCAGACAAAGCAGTCCCTCCTCCAATTATTCCCCACACCGACCCCGTTAGAGAATGGGCGAGAGAGGTTGGCTGACCTGTCATCACCCAATGAATTTCCATGCTGAAGGTGAGCTTGAAGCTGAGTCTCCCCATGCTTAGTCAAACTCTGGGAGTTGAAGTCCACACATCTTAAAGCCAATGCTTAGTCAAACACTTTTACTCCGCTGCACAAGTTGTCAGTGTAAGGACATCGCACACTATCCCTCTCCCTCCCTCCCTCCCTTTTTTGCTTGGCACCCAAAAGGACCAACCAACCAACAGTGACGTCTGAAAAAGCAATACAACTGTGTGCCTGTGTCCTCCTTTAAAGTTCCATTGCTGATTATGCAGACGGTTAGTTGCCTATGATTTCTGTGGAACTAATTTCTTACTATATATTTTTTAATAACATGTGTTGATGGACTTAGAAAATGACTTGAAATCCTGTAATATTGAAACACAATGGAAAATACATTATTATGAGGTTTCAGTTCTTGGATCTTTAACTGTTTCCATTAAAAAGAGAGATACTATGGTTTCAGGTGGAATATATTAGATAGAAATCATTGGCTTGCCATTAATCTATGATTACTCTGGCTGCACCAAATGATCAGAAGATGTGTACCTATGTGCACACACTTTCCTAACCGGCGCTGTCAAGATATAGATAATTGGAGCCACAGCTCAGAAAATTCCTAGCTGGTGTGTCTCTAGTCCCTTGTTTGATTGGTGATATGTCTCACGATCTCTGATTTCTCATTTGCTATCCTACAGCTTTATGGGCTTATGAAGCAGGTCATGTTTTCTCATGCAAACTTGCCTTGAATATTTTTGATTTAAAAAAAAAAAGTAAGAATGACTGAACTTGGGAATGGTGCATGACCATATCTGAACTTTTCTAGGGGGGTTTCATTGTGTAATGAAGATGCTTGCTGGTTCCACATTAGAAAGTTTAAATGAATGGAAATTATCCAGGAGACTTGGGTCAATAAGGGAAAAAGAGTGGTGAATGGAGATAACCTGTGGCAACTAAGGAAATATCATATTTGTTTTGTTGCTTTCAGGACAACATTGCCTTGTTCTTAAGAGGTTGTAGGGAAGTGGGACTGAAAGAATCTCAGCTCTTTGACCCAGGAGACCTGCAGGATACTTCAAGCAGAATAACGATCAAGTGAGTAAAACATCACTGGTATTTCTGGAATTCTAAGAGGATGCATACCTAGAACATCTGGATGTCTAGAAAGAAATTTTGAGCCATTCAGTCCGTTACATTACCAGCATTATAACTGTTTTCCCTTTTAGTTTGATTCTGTTAGAAATCAAGAGAAGGTGGGAGAAGAATAAGGCATAAAAAGGACCGCCAAACTAACCACAATATTTTTAGAAAAAGCAAGTAATATCTGTGTGGTGGGGAACACTAGTAATGGTCAAATCTGGGGCAAGGCCTGAGCTCTTGTTTGCTGATTGATAAGTTGCTCAGAAGCTGCAGTAAGGAATAGTCAATCACATATAAGTGAACAAAAGACCTGGAGTCAGAAATCCAACATGAATTCTGTTACAAGCAAATTGGTAAGTTACCTTAAATGTCATCCTGAATGCAAACAAGAGGACCTTGGCAAAGGAACTTACATCAGGGGAATTTGTCTGCATCAGGAAAAATTATGTATCAAAGACCTAAAGAAAAGTAATCTCATTTTTTTAAATGGTTCTTCAGCCATTTTCATTAGTGCTGAGGAAGATGTGGAAAAAGCCTGTATGCATTACAAGATATTGGGAATGTGAGTGTTACATTCATTATTTTTAAATGAATGTAAATGAATTTTACATTCAGAATTATTTTTAAAAGGGCATAGAAAAAAGTTAGTGTGTCTCTTAAGAAATACAGTAAAACCATCAAGATTCCAGATCAAGGGCACAGAAGGAGGTGGACTCACTGATATTCCTGAGAGACACGTGTGGAGAGACAGAGGACTTCCTTGCATGGAAACCCAAAGTGTTCTATGCACAAGAATCCCATGTAGAAAATTTACTACAGCTTTAATATTTTGCCTGGGGTCCTGAAAGGTCTAAATCCCAGTCCTAATTTAAAATCAAACATGATGCTTCGTAAGCAAGTACTAGGGTAATATTGAGATGAAAGCGTGTGTTTGAAAAGAAAGAAAACTTAAATTTATGGCGTGTATTTCTATTTGTGCCGCTGTGTAGACAGAAGACTTAAGTATCTTCTTGTTGCAGATTAAAGGGACTTTCAAAATGGTTTATGGTAATCATTAGATGATCCTCAAGAGCTGATGGTCCCAGGACTAAACACATCAAAAGTCTGATGAAATTCTGATGAAAGAAATACATGAGGTGTCTATGTTGCAGAGCGAGATCAGGCACTGAAGTATATATAACAGGAAACACACAGCTCTCTTCTCATGAAGAGTGGAAATAAAAGTCATTGGTATTATTGCTGATGTTTCTGTTTTCCATTCTCTTAAGGTGTTCTGAAAGATGGAGTCCTCGGTTTTTTGGCCAACTGGGCACATTTATCATTGCTTTAAAAAATGACTATCAGAAGGGGCTTTATCATCCATACCATGTTTTTGTGGACAGTCATAAAACACCAGCTTAGCAGAAAGCAAACCAATGAAGGTGGTTCCTGCTACATTCTCTAATCCAGGGTTCCTCAACCTTGGTGACTTGAAGATGTGTGGACTTCAACTCCCAGAATTCCCCAGGCAGCCCAAATTGGGGGTTTAAGGCCATACATTTTCTAGACGCCAAGGGGAAGGAGCCCTGCTCTAATCTCCTTGATGTG